GCGGAAGGCAGGAAGTGCCGCGGCGCGGGGAGCAGGGAGCGCGGCGAGCGGGGCGGAGCGGGCGGAGCGGGATCTCGCGGGAAGCGCGGGGACGCCCGGCGCCGCCTCCCCGCCCTCCGCGCCCACCCTCCCCCCGCTGCCCGGGACCGACCGCAGGGGGGCGCTGCGGCCTGCTGGACCCGGCGGCTCTTGGGCGTCCGGGCGACCAGCGGGCAGGGGCGCGGTGCCCGGCCTCCGTGCCCGGTGGACAGCGATTTGCTGCATATAAAGAATAACAACTGTGCTTTGTGGGTTTTGTTTTGTTACAGCAAAAATAGTCCACGCTTTTTGAGGAAACTGAAAAATACAGGAAACTAAAAATCACCTTTCACTCCAGCACCTGGAGAGATGCGCAGGTAACATTTTGATACGTTTCCTTCCAGTCTTTTCTCTAGGCTCAAGCAGTTTTCTGTGTAAAAATTTATTGCATAAAACTGGCATCAGATGTATAGACCGTATATCTGGCATCTCCTGCTGTTTTACCTGGCATCGAATGATGAGAATTTTGCCACATCGATAAAATATTGCCAACATGCTTTTTAATGGTTGTATATTGTTCCAAGTATGGATGAACACTAATCTGTGTAGCCTATTGTTACACATTTAGATTATTTTTATAAGCAACATTACACTTTTACATCTATTTGATAGTAACCCCACAATCCATAGATAAACACTATATCTCCGTGTGTCACTTTCTGGGCTTTTCCATGCATACGGGCATAAATGTTTGTGTTTTCATCTACAGAAATAATGTCATGTATATAAATATATAAGTATACATACACATGAATCCCTGAAACCTCCTCCTCCACCATACACATAAAAATGACATATTCTTAACACAATAAAGGCATTGTGGTGTTTTATAAAAGAATCCCTTGGGTGAGGTGTAGTCAAAGAGGAAGGCTGTGACCCAGGGGGATGGGCTGAGGACCTGGGGCTGGATAAGGCTTCAAGTGAGTGGGTGTGTGCTAAGAAGAAAAGAGGACCAAGGACAGTGCCCTGGGCTCTCCAAAGTTAAGGGTTCCAGAAAGGACTAACGAGATATTCATGAAAAACAGCTGAATGGTGTTTCTGGAGGCCAAGGGAAGAAAGTGTAACTCACTGCTGTGTTTGTGTTTATTTTTCTTTTCATATGTGTATTGGCCATTTGAATCCTGTGAATTTTCTAGTCATACTCTTTGCCCATTTTTCTCTTGTATTTGTCTTTCTGTGGACTTATAGGAGCTCTTCATAGGCTCTGAACACAAAATCCTTAAGTATATTGCAAATATGCTCTTCCAGCCTGCCAGTTGTCCTTTAATTTAGCCTAGGGAATCTTAGATATGAGAAGTTTGTAACCTTTATTTTTTTTAAAGATTTTATTTATTTATTTGAGAGAGAGAGAGAGCACGAGCGGAGGGAGGAGCAGAGGGAGAGGGAGAAGCAGACTCCCTGCTGAGCAGGAAAACCGACACACAGGGACCGACATGCTGGGCTCAATCCCAGGACCCCAGCATCATGATCTGAGCCAAAGGCAGATGCTGAGCCACCCAGGTGCCCCAGTTTGTAACCTTTAAGTAGGCAGGTCTGTCAATTTTTTTTCCTTTACTGCTTCTGGGTTCTGTGTCTTACTTTCCCACTCCTGAGACATAAGAAAATATTCTTCTAATCACAAGGTCTAGGAGAAAACGTGGGTATATGGTCCCTATGCAAAGGCGAGTATAGGGCTACCTGTCTGAGACTCCCTACTACATATTTTCAGGAAACCATGTCGACATTTTGGTGATTTCATCCATGTGCATATATGTCCCACCTGCCTCTTCACCCATCCTGGCTTATAATCAATGTGTGTTTGGGTGATTGTAATATGGGTGGGTTTATTTTTCCTACCTCACTGAATTTTCCAAGTTTTTTTCAATAAGCAAGTACAATAGACCCTTTAAAATGAAAAGGAGAATGGAAAGCTTGCTGAAGGACACGAAAAATAATGATTAGGTAAGTGAAATGGATTTTAGGCCTAATGGGCAACTTTGGACAGCCTGGGCCAAGAGAAGACAAGGTGGACTTTGGACTTGCCTAAGGTGGGGAATTGGAAGGATAGGGCTTACAGAGGGAAGTGGGGGGATCCCAGGGTTCCAGATGGATTGGCAAGGGAATTGCTCAGTTGAGAGGGAGTGGAAATGGGCCCTATGCCCTGCTACAGGTAGCAGGTAGACCAGATGTCTAGAAATGGCTGTGTAATCAGCACATGTGTGGCTTCTTTTTTGTCCTGGAAATGGCTATACCAGTATCCTTTGTGTGGCACCAAGGATGGGCCTGGAACTTGAAGACAACGTGGGCCTATTGATGGAGGTGGATACAGTTAGCAGGAAAGAGGTTGTCCAGACATTTGAGGACATCTCCAGAGTTCCTGGAGCCAAGAGTCCCAAGAGAAATACCTCATTTCTCCCCCAGTCCTCCATAATTCTATTCATGCTTTCATTTTTAACAGCTTTATTGAGACATATTTCACATATCATACAACTTACCCATTTAGCATATATAATTCATAGACACATGCAACTATCACCACAGTCAATTTTAGAACATTTTTATCACCTTAGAAAGAAATCCCATACCCTTTAGCTGCTATCTCCCTATTCACTCCCTGCCCTTTCCTCAGCCCTAAGTAACCACTGATCTACTTTCTGTCTATAGATGTCCCTGTTCTGAATACTTCATATGAATGAAATCATATAATTTGTGTCTTTTATGACTGGCTTCTTTCACTTAGCATCATGTTGTCAACATTCATGCATGATGAAGCCTCTATGCTTTATTCTTTTCTTACAGCTGAATAATATTCTATTATATAGATATATGACATTTTTATCCATTTGTCATTTGATGGACATTTGGATTATTTCTGTGTTTTGGCAATTCAGAATGATGCTGCTATAAACACTTGTTTGCAAGTTTTTGTGTGGACATGCGTTTTCATTTTACTTGGTTATATACCTAGGAGTGGAATTGCTGGGTCATATGGTAACTCTGTGTTTAATTGTTTGAGGAACTGCCACATTGAGGTCATGGTCTTTTAATTAACTTAAAAATTATGCCTGTTCTTTGGAAAATATTTTAAAATCCCGACAATTTTTTAAAAGATTTTATTTATTCATTTTTTAAAATTTTTATTTATTTGATATAGAGAGACACAGCGAGAGAGGGAACACAAGCAGGGGGAGTGGGAGAGGGAAAACAGGCCTCCCGCGGAGCAGGGAGCCCGATGCGGCGCTCAATCCCAGGACCCTGGGATCATGACCTGAGCCAAAGACAGACACCCAATGACTGAGCCACCCAGGCGCCCCTTATTTATTCATTTGAGAGAGAGAGCACACAAGCAGGAGAGGCAGAGGGAAAGGGAAAGCAGACTCCGCGCTGAGCCAGGAGCTTGATGTGGGGCTTGATCCCAGGACCTGGAGATCATGACCTGAGCTGAAGGCAGACATCCAACCATCTGAGCCACCCCAGCACCCCCAAAATACCCCAAATTTTGAGGATAGAAACATTTGATTCCACTACTCAGGGAATATCCTTGTGGGATACTTTTCTGTTCATATTGTTTTTAATGGGACCACACTTGGCATGGTATTTTGTAGCCCATAATGTGAACATCTTTTCATGTCAATAATTATTTCCATCAGTGAATTTCAAACTTCTTTTACTCTAGGAACCCTTCTTCAAAAGACCATTTTCTGAAAGCTCAATATGTAATCTTTCAGATACCAACAATTACTGATTGGGCCCCTGCTGGGTGCCAAGCATCCCTACCTGCCCCCATGCCTGTTCTCTTTAAAAGTTGCAGGTATTACAAACTATAGATGAGTCACCTCATTAGCTGCTCTCCTATAAGAACACCCAGCTTGCTCTGTGTTTCATTGCTATTAACAGTGACTCAGTGAACATACAGCTGTGTGTACTTTTACCATCTTTTTAAGAGAAATCCCCAGGGGCACCTGGGTGACTCAGTCAGTTACGCATCTGCTTTTGGCTCAGGTCATGATCCCAGGGTCCTGGCTCAGCGGGGAGTCTGCTTCTCCCTACCCCCTTCCTCCCACTTGTATTCTCTCTCTCGCTCTCTCTCTATCAAATAAATAAAATGTTAAAAAAGAAAACGAGAGAGAGAGAGAAATCCCTAGAAGTGGGATATTGGGTCAGGGGCCAACCTTGGACTTGGGCCTATATGAGGTACTGGGAGATGGGAGGAGAGGCAAATGACTTGGTCCCTGTTCTTCAACAGCTAATCAGCTTGAGGGGATGAAATTCAGGAAGGGGAAAAGAAGATTTCAATAAATAGAGCCATACCTTCCAATAGTTCCCTTTTATTATTTTTTTTTTCTTTTTAAGTAGGCTCCATCCTGGGCCTCTCATAATCCTGAGATCAAGACCTGAGCTGAGATCAAGATTCAGTGTTTAACCGACTGAGCCACCCAGGCATCTGCTAATAGTTCCCTTTTCAGAATTAATACCGTGTATACCTGCTGCATCAGTGTGAAAGCTAATAACCTAAATGTTCAGCATTAGGGAAATGAATAAATATATGACATTATGGTACTAATATGGATCCATCTTCAAGTAAAATGAAGAAAGCAAGGGGTAAAACAATGTTTCACACAGTTTGTTATATTTGTAAAAATATGGACATACACATGCTTGTACATATATAGACCTGCACTGTATACTCTGGTAGCCCAGTTAATCCCCTGTGGCTATTGAGTACTTGAAATGTGGCAAATCCAAGCTGAGATGTGCTGTGAGTGTCAAATGCACAATTGGTACCAAAAAGTATCTAAAATATCTAATAATTCTTATATTGATAATATGTTGAAATGATAATATTTTGAATATATGAGGTTAAATAAAATATTAAAATTTCAGCTGTTTCTTTTCATATTTTTAATGTGGCTACCAGGAAATTTTAAATTATGTCTGTGCCTCTTGGGCTCCTGGGTGGCTCAGTTGTTAAGCGTCTGCCTTCGGCTCAGGTCATGATCCCAGGGTCCTGGGATTGAGCCCCGCATCGGGCTCTCTGCTCAGCGGGAAGCCTGCTTCTCCTTCTCCCACTCCCCTTGCTTGTGTTCCTGCTCTTGCTGTGTCTCTCTCTGTCAAATAAATAAAATCTTTAAAAAAATAAGATATGTATGTGGCTCATATGTGTGCCTCCCATTATGTTTCGATTGCCTGGGACTGTCACAGACTATCTCCAGAATATGCAACAAATTCATATTGGTGGCTGTCTCTAGGCAGGGGTCCTGAAGGTGTGTGTAGGGTGGGAGACTGACTTTTCACTGTTGTTCTGCACCATTTGAATTTTCTCCTTTGTTTGAATTTTCGGTACCATGTCCCAATTTTTAAAAACCATTTAACATGTCTCAAGCCATGACAGAAAAGGCACTAGAAAAGTGAGTCCCACACAGAAGATGCTGTGTGGGAACAGGCTTGGAGAAGGATTTTGGAAACGTGATCATTTTACCTTCTTTTCTGCCAAGGCACTGGAGTCACACTGGACCCCCTCAAGCAAGCCCAGAGGGATAGTCCAGAGCCAGGGTATTCCTTTCATGGGGAGTGGAGCTTTCTGCAGCTCAGAATTGTCATTGTAACCAGGACCTGGCTGGATGGGAGGAGTCATTCCTCTTACGATATTATTGCAAATATTTATTTTAACTTATTTTTGTTGAATAGCTTTTTTTTAATTGAGCACATAATCTGTGATCTAATTGGCAAAGGAGATCCAGGAAGGTACACAGAGCTGATGTGCGGGATGCTCTGGAATGACCCCTCTGTGGTCCTGGCCTCTCCTCACTTGCCCAGAGGTGACCTCTGAGTGTGGAATTTGAAAGGATTCAAGAGTATAATACTCCCCCACTTTTTGTTGGCCACACACATACACACACACCCTCCCTACACCCTATAGAAATTGTGTGTGTGTGTGTGTGTGTTGGATGGTGGTAATCCTTGCTGGGTTGATCTTGAAAATGCAACCCCTCAGTTTTATTTTTGGTCTTTCAGGTGGGACTGTCTCCTCCCTCACCCACACCCTCACCCACCCCCCTCCCCAGGGCAGTCACATCCTGGGCTGTGAGTAGTGGCTGGGTGTTGGGAGCTGGATTCTTGATCCAGGGTGGATGAACCTGAAATCTCAGCCCTGTCCAGCATGAAGCATAGCACCTGACAGAAGCTGAACAAAACACTGGGAGAAGGAAAAGTCATGATCTGCACCTTCCTACCCCTCTCAGATAGAACTGGGGTCTTTGGGGGTGCCTGGGTGGCTCAGTCGTTGAGTGTCTGCCTTCAGCTCAGGTCATGAGCCTGGGGTTTTGGGCTCGAGCCCTGCATCAGGCTCCCTGCTCCGCAGGAGGCCTGCTTTCCCTCTCCCACTCCCCCTGCTTGTGTTCCCTCTCTCGCTGTGTCCTTCTCTGTCAAATGAATAAAAATCTTAAAAAAAAAAAACAAAAAACTGGGGTCTTTGCATCCCGTTCTTCCGCAAGTCCCCTAGCCCACCCAACTGCCCACCGCCAGGCCCTCCCTTCTTCCACTCCCACCCGCTGCACCTTGGCTGGAGGGATGTGACTGCAGGGAAGTGAAGAAGAGCCTGAGCTCTTGCTTTTCTGAGCTGTGCACCACCCAGCCAGAGGCCCCCTCTTCACTGGGGAGACAGGATGCAAAAGCACTTACTGCCCATTCACTTTTGTGTGCAGGGTTCCAGGGCTCATTCCAGGAAAACAAAATTGCTGGAAAGTGATCAGTTAGAAGATGCTCAGTTTAAACTAGTGACAGATTCAGTTTCCTTGGTCATCAAAGAAACACCAATTAAACAATATAATGCCATTAACATCACTTTAGCCAAACCGTCAGTGGGCATGAGATATTTCCATAACCTGGTTCTGAGGTCAAAGATATCTTCTTTGGCCCCAGTCGCCAAAACCTATGGCTAGGTCAACCATTAGAGCCTCCTCTGAGGCTACTGGAGAAAATTGGACCTCGTGGGGTCGCAGGTAACCGGGGGCCCCATGAGTTACACGGAGGCCCGCACCTCCGGTCTACCTCCTGTGCGGGGTGGGGGGTTAGGCTGCGCTTGGCAATTAGGCTTTACCGACGCTCCGCGCTGCCAGTCAAGAGGGCACAGAGGCTGCAGGAGCGCCTGGGGTGAATTTCTGCTCTACCACTTGCCCCGTGTGACCTTGAACGAGTTAATGAAGTTTTCCACGCCTCAACGTCCTGGTGGATAAAGTAGAGTGACGAACACGGACTGCACCGTGTAACGGTGTTTGGCAAACTCCCGGAGTGGAGCCTCTCATGGTGCCTACTGGTGAGTGTAGGTGATGTTAAATCTCGGGGGGTTCCCTCGGAGGCCATCCTAGCGGGTGTGGATTCCTCAGGGACCCTCTCCGCCGGGGGTAACTCCAAACCACATCCCGAGAAGCAGAATTTGGGCAGCGAAGATCCTCGAGTCCTGGCTGGGGTGGCGGGGGGCGGTGCGTGGAGGCTTAGGAGAAACCCCAATTCCTTAGCCCGACCAGAGCCTGGAACTGGGCTGGGCCGGGCTGGTCAGCATCCGCGCCTTTCACCCCGCGGGCCCCGCCCTCGGTCCCGCCCTCCTCCAACCCGCGCCCCCATTGGTGGCGTCCGGCGGCGCGGCCGCTGTTATTTTTCGAATATATAAGGAGGTGGAGGTGGCAGCTGCGGCTTAGAGGCTTCCCGGACTGGTGGCTGGTCCCTGCGTCCCTCCACCCCGCCCCACCCTCCCCGCTTCCCTCTCCTCCCTCGTTCCGACCCCGTGGCTCTTCCTCCCTCCCTCCCCCCCCTCCACCCCGGGCCCGCTCCCCACCTCGTCCCGGCCAGCTGTGCCCGGCGTCGCCCTGCCCCCGGCCCTCCCGCCAGCCTTCGGCGGGCCCCGCCACGATGGAGCTGTCCCAGCCGGAGCCCGCGCCGGGCCCGGCTCTCAGTCCGGCCGGCGTGCGCGGTGGCGCCGAGCGTCCCAGCCACCTCCTGGGCCTCCAGCTGGGAGCTCATGGCCTCGTGGGGTCCCCGGAGCGCGCGGCCGCTTCCTCGCCGGTCACCACCCTGACCCGGACCATGCACGACCTCGCCGGGCTCGGCAGGTAGGGCGCCCCACCGACGCTGGGTGTGGGGTGAGAGGCCCGTAGTAGGGTGTTGGTCCCGGGCCTCCCGTGGAACCCGGCGTGGGAGCCGAATCTGAGAAGCGCAGCGGGGGAGGTGTCCTGGGTAGTGCCTGCTTCAGGGACCCGGGACTAGGGCGATGAGGCCAGGTCTGTGCTGCGCACACCCTCCAGGTGACTTGCTCTTGGGCAGCACAAGCCTCTGGAGACACCCGTCCCATCCGCCGCCTCCCCCGTGTGCCTCCACCATGCTGTCTCCCTAATCTCTGCCCTAATCACCACTATTTTGCCCCAGGCAAGGGATCCTGAGCCTGGAGTGGGAACTTGAGGGTGGCAGAGAAGCCTGGTTCTCTTCTGTCCGGGCCCCTGCTCTCTCCACCCCCAGTTCTTTCCTGAGGTTAAGGGGTTAAACCCTGGTCCTGCTTCCTGAGCAACCTGCAGTGTCCAGGCTGGGTCGCCCTCAGCAGCAGTGGAGACCTAAGTCTTGCCCTTGCTCCAGAAAGGCTTGTGGATGGGTAGGGGTCTGAAGAGTTCCGGGGAAGGCCCTCTGGGGCTACTCTGCTGCCCTGCCATCCCCCAGAATGGCCCTCAACGCACCTCCTTGCTCTTGTCCTGGGCTCACCTCCCCCTGAACCCAGGAGGACCTTTCTTAATCAACAAAGAAAAGCTACTTAGAATCCCTGCAGAAGACCCATGAAGAGGGCAGGCCCTCAGGGCCATCACCTCTCTGGGACAGGGATGGGCCCTTCAGAGGTGGGTGGCTGGTGGGAACATGGGCCAGCTAGCCCTTGAGCCTCACATTTACCTTTCTCCTTCCCTGGGTCTCTTTTGCCTTCCCAGTGAGACTCCTAAGCATCAGGTAGGCAGCCCGCTCACATGCCTATCCCTGTCCCGGCGGCGGGCATCTGAATCCTCCCTGTCATCTGAATCCTCTGAATCTTCTGATGCAGGTGAGGCTCAGGGGTACCAGGGGACTTGGCGGGGGGCGGGGGGGCGCTGCCTGAATCTCTCCACTTCCCTGCTGATCAGACTAACATTTTTCCCACAACCTGGTGGGCCCAGGACATTCCACCTGCCCACCTCTGATGGGGCTCCCTACACCCAGCCCAGACTGGCTGAGCGGGGCGGTAGGGCGGGGCCCTCTTGGGGAGATGAGATCTTACCTATTTAAAACCAGGCGCCAAAGTCCCTGAACCACAGCCCCAGCTGGGAGGCATTTGGGCTGAAAGTTGGTCATTTTATAACATTCACTTGCCTTCAGCTGTAACCTTTTCCTTTAAAAAGCTGTTATCTCTTCTAGAACAAATTACTTAAACCAGCTTAAGAAAAATGCTTAGCAAAGTTTTGGTTTAAAACCTATACAGAGGAGGGGCACCTGGGTGCCTCAGTCGGTTAAACGTCTGCCTTCGGCTCAGGTCATGATCCCAGGGTCCTGGGATTGAGCCCCACGCTGGGCTCCCTGCTCAGCAGAGTCTGCTTCTCCTTCACCCTCTCCCTCTGAGCTCTCTCTCTCTCTCAAATAAATAAAATGGAAAAAATAAAAAACCTATACAGAGGAGTTTCCATAGTAAACAGGGAGTGGGGCCCTGCCCAATTTCGGGGCCAGTGTGTTAGCCCTTGGGGTTCATGGGCAGGTTTTTGTTTCATTTTTTTTAATGTATCAAGATTTAAAGTAGAAACAGGTTTTTCCTTTCTCTGAATAGAGTTGCGACATGGTGGGGGAATGTGTGCGGAAGATGCCACTACTTTCAAACCAAGGTGCTCTGTCCCCCCAGGTCTGTGTATGGATTCTCCCTGCCCCATGGACCCCCAGATGGCAGAGCAGACGTGAGTAGAGAAAAGGGATCCCCACTACCAAGGAGTTGGTGCCTGCCTTTGGGAATCCTAGTTCCAGCATAAACCCACCGGGGAAGTCTGGGAGAGTGGACAGACCCCTCCAATCCACATGTGGGGGGGACCCACTGACCTCCTAAGTCCTGAGATTCTGCTTCCTGTCTCAGAGAAGGGTCTGCTCCTACAGGAGCAGCTGAGTGTGGGCAGGCTCAGGGTCAGGTGGTGGGGATAGTGGATACTTCAGCCAACCCTTGGCCTGTGGGAATACAGGTCTGGTGTGTGTCCCTTTTTTCTTTTGCCTATACACTTTTTTTTTTTCCTATGAAATCTTACAATTTTAAAATACGGTCTAACTAATTCAAAACATTTAATTCATTTAATTTAACCTGCCACAACTGTTTTGTTTAGGCTGAACAAAACAGTTGTGGCAGGTTGGTTCAGCCCTTGGCCATCCTATCAGCAACCTGTGGCTTCAGTGACGCTTTCTGGCCAACCCCTGGACCAGGCCCTTTATGACAGAGAGTGGAGAGGGCGTTGTGCTCAGGACAGATCCTTCTCCCTTGGTGGTGGGGCATGAGTAGTATCTTCTAGAGCACAGCAGTCCCTATCCAGCGGTTAGAGCCCCAGCAGGGAGAGCAGCTGCTAGGCATTAGCGGGGACAGCTGGGCATCCCCAGACTGGGCTGAGGGACTATGGCTTTGGGGTTAGGGCAGTGGCTGTCTTTCCTCCCACTGCCTTTGATCAGACTGGGCTGGGCTACAGGGTTTGTTCACAAACAGGAAACAGGGAGAGAACTGGGTGGGGGTGGGGGGACTGCAGGTTGGTTTTTGGTGACAACCCAGAACTGTCCCTGCTTTACTCCTGAGGCGCGCAGGTGCAGATGGGAAACCAGGCCAATAAAAGTCATCACTCCCGATGCCAGGTTGTCTGGGCACGGCCCCTCCCCACCCTTGGGATTCGTCCCCCTGACACTAGCCCTCAGTGCCCCCACCCCACCTCTGCACCTGCTTTGACGGTTACAGTTTCTCAGAAAGAAGCGTGTGTGTGTATGCGCGTGCACACTCGCGCCTGGGCTCACATAGACACACAAAAGCCCTGCGTGGCAGGTGGTCTCTGGTAACATAGCTAGGGGGTGGGGTCTATCTACAGAAGCTTGTGCCCCGGCCTCAAAAGGAACATCTGTTGGAATTCTTTGCCTGCTGGCCTCTTCTAAGGCAGGAGAAGGGGGTGGGACAGAGGCTGGGTCCTAGAAAATTCCATAGGAGGGAGGAGAGGATGTGACCCTGAACATTTGTCACTAGGGGGTCTGGCATGGCACACTGTGGCTGATCTGGGGCACACTAAACCAGGCCCCTGTCCTGGGGGGAGCCAGGACAGCCCCACACAAGGGGAGGGAAGCCCAGTCTTGCTGGCATCCAGGCCCTGGAGATACCCACATTGTCGGCCACGGTCTGTCCTCATGGGACGGATGGATGCCTTTCCTGGCGGCCATATGGCCCCGCTGAGGTGATTTGCATACAGGTGGAAGGCCTGTGGGTAAGCTGGCAAGACCGTTGCCTTGGTAGCGCCTTAGCCACCCTGTGACCTGCCCCAGCTGTCTCCGTTGCTCCATTCTCTGGGCCCTCTTCCATTCAGGGTAGCCTTCAAAATCCCAGGCTGCTTCTTCTCTCCCCCCTCCCCAATACCTGGGCCCCTGAGAGTCAGCATTCTTCCCTCCCCTTTCTGCTGGCCCGAGCCCTGGCCCCCAGGCCTTGTAGGACTTGGGGCCTGATGCTGGGGGTGGGCACTGGGCTGTAGGGGGAGGTGGGCTCCATGGGACTTTTCTCTTTCCCAGGTTTGAGCAGGCCATCCAAGCAGCCAGCCGGGTCATCCGAAAGTAAGTGCTCCAGCCTTCCTCATGCGGGCTCTGGTGGTCCACCTATCCCAGGCTCTCCCCATGCCCCCGTTTGATGGAGGAGGCATGGGGAGGGTGCTCTCCCACTGCCTCCCAAAGGGATGCGCAGGGCTCTGTGGTGAAGGGGCATCCTGCGTGCTGTCCTGCCTGGCCCCCTATTCTCCAGCCCTGACCTCTCCCTATTTTCTCCTGCAGCGAGCAGTTTACCATTCGACGTTTCCAGTCCTTGCCGGTGAGTGCCCTCTGAGGCCTGACACTGGAGGCTCAGGCTCTGGCCAGGCTTGAAGAGGGGCAGGAGGGATCCGGGTCACCTCCCAGAGGGCAGACTTGAAACGGTCTGGTATCCCTGGTCTGGCTGTGGGAGATGGGGTTTTGGAGGTGGAAGGGCAAGCTGGGGGAGTCGGAGAAGGGACGGGAGAAGGTAGGGCCAGGGCTGGTGCCAGAGGAATGGAGCCTTCAGTACCTGCTGCCCTGCCTGGCTCTCTAGGTGAGGCTTCTGGGCCACAGCCCTGTGCTACGGAACATCACCAACTCCCAAGCACCTGGCAGCTGGAGGAAGAGTGAGGCGTGTGGCCGAGCTGCCCGCAGCTCTGGGGAGGACAAAGAGAATGTGCGCTTCCAGAAGGCTGGAGTGGGAGCACTTCAGGGAGAGAAGGAAGGGGGTGTGCTGGGATGGTTCTCTGGCATTTGATGACACCCACCCATGTTGCCCACAGGATGGATTTGTCTTCAAGATGCCATGGAAACCCCCGCATCCCAGCCATGCCCATGCTTTGGCAGAGTGGGCCAACCGCAGAGAAGCCTTTGCCCAGAGACCAAACTCAGCTCCCGACCTGATGGTACATTGGGAGAACGGAACCCAATGTAGGGTGGGTGTAGGGTGGGTGCCCTTGAAGGCAGCCTTGGGGGGGGAGGTGGAGGGGGAGGGTGATCCTGAACCCTGAGGCAGTAGGAAACTTTTCTCAGAAGGATGGGGGTGAGGGCTGCCTCGGGTCCCCACCCCTGAGCGGCATGTGTCTGTCCCCCACACAGTGTCTCACCCCTGAGCGCAAGATGGAAGTAGAGGAGCTGAGTCCCCCAGCCCGGTGCCACTTCTCCCTGACTGCCACCCAGGGGGCCTCTGAAGAAGATGATGGATTTGTGGACATCCTGGAGAGTGACTTAAAGGTAACCAGTTTTGCCCCACCAGGCCATCGACCTCACTTTCCCTGGGATCTCCCCAAAGAGGAAAGCCCTGACCTCCCACCCCGAGACTGTGACTTCATTCCGATGTCAGAAGAGGAATCAGAGCTAATGGAGTCACAGCGTGGCCTCCAGCCTACCAGAGACTAGCAGGTGGCTGGTGCTGCGGTGAGGGAGGGCGCTGCAGGGCAGAGGCGAGTCCGACTCTCCCGCGGGGCCACACGTCTCAGCAAGTGGGGCCCTGCAGTTTCCTGGTTCTGGGGGACTGCCCTGTGTGGGTGTGCAGGCAGGGCCAAGGAGGGCCATGCTGGAGGACCTGGGGCCTGAGGGGCTGGCCTTTGCCCGCGGCTGTGACCATACCCTTGCTGATTTGGCCTCAGGACAACAACACAGTACCCCCAGGCATGGAGAGCCTCATTAGCGCCCCACTGGTCAAGACCTCAGAGAAGGAGGAAGAGCAGGTGGGTCTCTGAGGGGGCCGCCCCAGAACTTGGGGGGGGATGCTGGTAGGGGGCAGGGGCGGGGTACTCTGACCTCTGACCTGCCACCCCTGCCAGGACCTCATCATGTACAGCAAGTGCCAGAGGCTCTTCCGCTCTCCGTCCATGCCCTGCAGCGTGATCCGACCCATCCTCAAGAGGCTGGAGCGGCCCCACGACAGGGACCTACCCATACAGAGCAAGCGGAGGAGGAGCGTGACCCCTCCAGAGGAGCAGCGGGAGGCCGAAGAACCTGTGGGTGCCCCCCTGGGGTGGGGCCGGGCAGCCACTGTCCAAGTCGACCCTGCCAGCCGTCCTTGGCCGGGTTTGTGGCAGAGGGCAAGGTGCATGGAAAGAGATGCCAGCCCCACGGGCGCTGAGGGGCAGCCTGGCCCCTGACCCTGGCCACCATCTACCCTGCAGAAAGCCCGTGTCCTCCGCTCCAAGTCCTTGTGTCACGAGGAGATTGAGACTATCCTGGACAGTGACCACCGGGAGCTGATTGGGGATTACTCCAAGGTACCAGCAGTGGACCCTTGGGAGGCTCGACCCTTTACTGTGTGGCCCTCTGAGCTCAGCAGCTGCCTCGGTACCTCCTTCCCCCTGCCCCGTCCTGGCTTTGTCCTTCACAGCTTATTCTTTATTCTCACCTAGACTCCTCTCTCCGGCTCTCCTTGGTCTCCTGACTCTACCCCAGATCTGTCTGGGGCATCAGTTGTGTTTCAACCTTGGAAAACCTTTCCAAACTAACATTGTAGCTTGGAGCCTCCTCGGGTCTCATCCAGGGGGCTTGGCAGAGTGTGGCGGCAGGTGAACTCTTCTGTTCCCTTCTGCATTTTCACCCTTGGAAGGGGTTGTTCCCTGGATGTCAGACCCAAGAGGCGCCTCTTGGTTGCTATGGGAACCAGAGCTGAATTTGAAGGTCAAAGCAGGTGTGGCCTTCTGGGCTTGGGAAAGAAACTCCATCCTTCCCAGGCTCCGAGTCTTGCCAATTTCACCTTTTTTCCTCCTCTCTCTCTCTCTCTCTCTCTCTCTCTCTCTTTCTCTTTCTTTCTTTCCCCCCTCCCCTCCCTCCATCCCTCCCTTCCTCCCTCTCCCCCTCTCTCCCCCTCTCCCTTTCTCAATCTTTCTCTCCCCCTTTCCCTTCAGGCCTTCCTTCTGCAGACTGTGGATGGGAAGCACCAAGATCTCAAGTACATCTCACCAGAAACGGTACTTGGGGATGAGCCATTCTCCAGGCATACTTGGGATGGCTGTTTGCCTGTTCACCTTCCTTGGGGATGGGCTGCAAGGCCAGACCGGTGGTAGGGTTGGGGTCAGGCCCCTCCTGCCAGCCTGACCTGCTGGGACCCACCTCTGTGGCCCACAGATGGCAGCCTTGCTGGCAGGCAAGTTCAGCAACATCGTGGAGAGGTTTGTGATTGTGGACTGCAGGTACCCCTACGAGTATGAAGGCGGGCACATCAAGGTGAGGCGGGCTGTTGGGGACAGGCCCTGAAGACCCACCAGTTCTGTCCTTCTGCGGGGAGGGTGAATCCGTGGAGGGCGGCTGCACCCTCTACGGGGAAGGATCCTGTCCAGTAAGAGGTGGAATCATGCGTCTGAAAGGTGGGGACGGCATGGGGAGGGATAAGCCACCCAGCCCCAGGGCCGTGGCCTGACCTCCAGCTCCCCTGGCAGACTGCAGTGAATCTGCCACTGGAACGGGATGCTGAGACCTTCCTGCTACAGAGCCCCATCACACCCTGTAATCTGGACAAGAGAATCATCCTCATTTTCCACTGTGAATTCTCATCTGAGCGTGGTCCCCGCATGTGAGTCAGCTAGCTAATGTCTGCTCCTGACCTTCCTGCCCAGGCTTTGGGGTGCTGGAATCATCTGATGCCCAAGAGGCTCGAGCCCAGCCCCAGCCCTGACTAGATCTGGGCCTCTAGTCTCCTGGCACCTGGAGCAGACCCCACCCTCCCTTCCTGTGCATGGCACCCTCTTCCCATCTCTTCCCCATCCTTCCCATCGGGCCTTATGTCCACCCTCCATCCATTGTCACCACCCCTTCCCCTCAAGATCTGGTTCCAGGTCTCCAGCAGTGTCCTTAATATCCAAGGGCCCTGTCCCAGGCCTCAGTGATGCTGAGCCTTCCAGGGTTTGACTGATCTTTCTGTTCCCCACCTCTCATGCTCACCAAGTCTTCTCCAGACCTCCTGAACAGATCTCTCAAATTTTGTCCACTTCTGTCCTTTATGCGTCCCCCTTTGCTGTCCAGGTCAGTTATCTCTAACAAAGATTGTGAACTGCCTTCTAGAAACGACTCCCTTGATTTACCTCCTTCCTTCCATCTCCCCAATATCCTCTGGATCCAGTAGCCAGATGATCTAAAAGCATTCTTATGGCTAACATTGCTGCATTCAAGCCTTCTGTAGCTCTCCAAGGTCCACAAAAGAGGGGGTGCAAAGAACAGGTCCCCTGAGGCATATCCTGCAACACCTCCCAGCTCTGACCCCCACACCCCTGCTGGTCCCAGGTGTCGTTTCATCAGGGAGCGTGACAGAGCCGCCAACGACTACCCCAGCCTCTACTATCCTGAGATGTACATCCTCAAGGGCGGCTATAAGGAGTTCTTCCCGCAGCACCCGGTACCATGGGTCGGGGTGGCTGAAGCCTTCATGGGAGGGCAGGACTGCAGGGAAAGGGCTCGGCCAGTGGGTAGCCCAAGGAAAAGGGAGGTTTCCTCTAAAAGTTCCCATTCCCCCATACTGACTGACCCTCCCATCCTGCCCCCCAGACTTTCTGTGAGCCCCAGGACTACCGGCCCATGAACCACGAAGCCTTCAGGGACGAGCTGAAGACCTTCCGCCTCAAGACCCGCAGCTGGGCTGGGGAGCGGAGCCGGCGGGAGCTCTGTAGCCGCCTGCAGGACCAGTGAAGGGCCAGCACCGGTCCTGCCTACCTTCTTTGCCTCACTGCCTGGGTGCCAGCCACCCGGGCGCCTGCAGGGCTGAGGGTCTGCTGGAGGCCCCAGCTGCCATCCAGGGGAAGGACAGTGAGGGTGTCCTGTGCATCTGCCCCCAGCCCCAATCCCCAATCCCCACGTCTCACTGCGATCATACTCCATAACCTCGTGCCAACCCCAGCCCAGACCCTGGGAGAGCCCAGCCTGTTGCCTTGGTGAAACTGCATTAAGTCTAGCTCAAAGGAAGTATTTTGTGTCCAGCGGGAACCTTTTTGCTTTTTTTCCTTCCTTGTTTGAGTTTACCCTTTGTCTTGTGTCCAGAAAAGCCCCCCTCTTTCCTAGGCACTCTGTTTGTATGCAGCTGGGGGAAAGTCCACAGCCCCCCCCCCCCCGCCCCCACTGGGATGGGCCAAAGCAGAACCTCTCCCTGCCCAGGGCGTTGGCACTCTTGGGTGTGTCTGCCATGTTCCCTTTCTCTTCTTCTCTTTCCTGTCCTTCCACGTGAACACCTCTAGCACAAACAGAAGCTCTTACTCTTTCCTGTTTCAGTGTTACCTGCATGCTTGATTCATTCATCTGATTTGTTGCCCATCTCAGGGTATGCACAGGCTGAGATTTAGGCTCCTCTCTCCACTTGGGGTTAGAGACTCCAAACATTAATTAGCCACTCGACCCTGGCTTCTGTTGCATTAGAAAGGGATGACCTCCTTGGGGCTCTTGGGCAAGGGCTAAGGTCTGGATCCTCAGCCCCTGGCAGCCCAGCCCCCACTGCTGTGAACTCCGGGGTCCGACTGGTCAGAACTTGCTGCTCTCTTGTTGTGGATGGACAGATGGACGAATGGATGGATGGTGGATGGATGGAGAGCCACAGATGCCCAATGTCCTGCACATACAAACTGCTGAGTGGAAGCATTTCAGTGAGCGTGACCACCTGCAGCAAGAATATATGTGTGTCTCTGTGTGGACAAAATCTTTACACGTTAAGGTTTGGAAATATTCAAGACGAAATGTCATGGAAGCAGCGAAGCCAAGGACAGAGCCACGTCTGGATTCTGAATCTCAGGACGTGTGGAGGGCTGTGCTTGAAGGTCCTGTTGACTCATCTGTTCAGGCCTTGGTTCAATAAAGCACTGAGCAAGCTGAGTAACCAGCATCATGTCCTGTGGGCCTTTGACAGACCTTGGCAGACCCTGATGGTGGGATAGGGTGAGGACAGGTCAGCAGATGGGGGCCAGAAGACTCCTGTGGAGGTAGCCTCACATTCTCTTCCCCAAGGCAGCCTCACTAATCCTTCATGTATCTACTCCAGCACCTCTGAGCTCACCCTTCCTAAACTGCACCGGGAAAGCCAAAGTGACACTGTCACTGCTCAAGAATTGTCAGTGGTTCCCCACTGCCCTCAGGATAAACTAAGAAGACTCCTGGCATGGCCCTTTAGGACCTGGGCCCTCCCCAGCCCCACTTCTCACCTCTTTTGACTCAAATCCCCATACGTTGTTCTTCACATTTCCTTCCTTTGCATCTGTTGCATGATCAGGAATGTTCTTCCCCAACTGTTATTCCTCCTTTGAGACTCAATTTCAAATGTCACCTCCTCCTAGAAGCCTTCCTTCCTGCCCCATTCAGAGAAATGACTTTCCTCCATATCCCCAGCACCCAGCAGAGGTTGCACCACCTAGGAGATGCCAAGTTCAAGATCAAGAGAGTGGAAAAGGGCCAATCTGGGAGAGCTGGTCCCAGGCCCAAACCTGGTATCTCAGGAAATTCCCTCACAATACCACTGCAGGGGACCCCGGCCCCCAAATGCGAGTCTGTGATTGTAGGGCTTCCTTTGCCCATGTACAAATAAGGTACTGCCTGATACAGAGTGCATACAATATGTCAGGCATCATTACCACTTTCTGCCAAAGTTCATCTACCTTCTGAACTAGGCAGTGCCAGTGATTATTCACTCCATTTTGCAGATGGGAAAATGGAGGCTATTTCCTACCAGAGCAACAAG